CTGCCCTTCCTCTCCTTCTCCCCCTCCCCTCCCCCCCCCCCTCACCTCCCCCCTCCTCCTCCCCCCTCCTCCCCTCCCCCTCCCCCCCTCCCCTCCCCCTCCTTCTTTTTCTTCCTTTACTACATCCCCTAATTTTTTCTGGAGTATCTAAATGCAAATCACATCATTTCACTCACAAACCCTTTAATATGTCTGGCAAATAAAGATCTCCATTTGAAATAACTGCACTCTCTTTAACACATCCAACCACATGAACAAAATTACTTAATATCTAATACCCAATCCATGTTCAATTTTTCATGACTTCCTTAAAATATCTATTCAGTTATCTGTTCAAGGCTGGACCCAAGAACGTTCCACACTTAGAATCTGGTTGTTACGTTTGAACTATGGAAATTCTTCATTTCTTTCCTTCCTTACAATCACACTAATTTATTGAAGAAATTTAGTTATTTGTCCTGTAGAATTTTCCACATTCTGATTTGGCCAATTGTGATCTTCACTATACCACTTAAAGGGTTTTTAAATTCATTTTATTTCCTATCAACTGGCAATTAGATCAAGAGGCTAAAGTAATTCAGGTTCAATGTTGGGAAATATATCTTAAGTAGTACTTTCTACTTTCTATGGCATCATATTAGGAGGCATATTAATACCATATTGTTCTAATTTATTTTTGCTAAGATTGGCCAACTAGTTAAGGTGTTGTCAACCTGATTGTTACCTTTTGAAATTCCCAGTCACCCATTTATTATGGATTGTTGCTAAATCCATTATTTTATTAAAGGATGCCAAATTTAACTTTCTAAGTCTTTAATATATTCTTTCTGAATATATTAGCTAATTATTTTATAATAAAATTTCCTCTATTTGATTATAACCTGTACAGAATAATCATGATAAATGCTTGGCTCTGTATCTTATTGAAAGTTCAGAATGAACTACTACTCTGGCAAACCCCATAAAGGGATCTATCACATTTTTTCATTTTGAATTTAGGAAGGTTTACCTACAATCATGGTTTCAATCCAGTGCAATAGTTTTTGATGCTTAAATTATCCTGTTTTTGGTCAATTCCTTTTGGTTGATGATCCTATGGTCTTTGATAGCTTTATTGCTTTTAGGCACAATAAGATGTTTTATAATAACCATATATACATTTCCTACCCTTGACCTATCTTACGTCATTTCTTCAAGGAGCCCTTGCTTCTTTTTTTTTTTTTTTTTAATAGAAAACTACAGTCTGGATAGTTGGGGAGCTCACTGTTTCTGTGTCATGAAAGCTTGAGTCCTTTGGCAGACAGAGGTAAGAAATACATACTTCCAATTCAAATGAAAAATTAAGGTTATTTTACTTCTTTATGTTTTTCTTTTGAAAAAAAATTCCTCATGAAATTAAGTTATGTAATTAATTTTGGACTCACCTAAAATACCAATATTACTATTAACAAGACTAGGAAAGGCTATAACATGATGTGGAATCAAATTCTTTGTTTTTGATATATAGGTTTTCTATTTCTCTTTGACTTCATTTTTTAAAAAAGATTTTATTTTAGAGAGGGAGAGTGGATGAGTGGGGGGTGGGTGGTAAGGGCAGAGAGAGAATCTCTAGCAGACTCCCCACTGAGTGTGGGGAGCATGATCCCATAACCCTGAGATCTTGACCTGAGCTGACATCAAGAGTGGGACATTTAACCCAACTGAGCCAACTGCCCCTGACTTAATTTTTAAAATAAAATATCTACATGGGTCTGAAGTCAAAATAGAAATCAAGGTATAACCAAAGATAACTATCTTTCATCCTTGCCCTCTCCTAACTGTTGTTTCATCTTGAGATTTCTTGTTGAAAGTACAGGCATATACTGTATTCCTCTCTTCTTTCAAAAATATTAGCATAATATACATATAATTTTGAACTTACCTATTTTTCATTTAACATATCCTGAAGATCACTCCCTAGAACAGAGGTACACAATATCCCACTGTATATTCATATAATTAATTCAGCCAGTCTGTTGCTGGTCATCTGGGTTGTTTCCAGTTTGCTGCATTTACAAAGTGTTTTTTTTTTTATTTTATAAAGATTTTAAAAAAATTTATTTATTTGACAGAGAGAGAAATCACAAGTAGGCAGAAGTAGGCAGAGAGGAGGCAGAAGCAAGCTGAGCAGGGATCCTGATGTGGGGCACGATCCCAGGACCCTGGGATCATGACCTGAGCCGAAGGCAGAGGCTTAATCCACTGAGCCATCCAGGCACCCCACAAATAGTGTTTTTAAAAAATTCCTTTGTGTATACCACATTTTGTAATTTTACAAGTGTATATTTGGGATAGAAGCAAGGGTGCTGGTCTTATGATAAATGCATGAGACTACACGTGGACATTACTTGATTCCCTCCTATATGAATTGTACTTTTTCCCATTTTCACCAGCAATTTGAGAGTCCTTGTTTTTCCAGTCTTGCCAAAGGAGTATATTAATACACTTTTTAAATTTTTGCCCATCTGATTGGGATGAAGTGGTATCTCAGTGTGTGTTAACTTGCATTCTTATCTCACTTTTTAGAGTCTTTAGGAATATTAGTCTGTGATATAGTTGCAAATATCTCCATTTTGTCATTCTCCTTTAACATTTAGTCCTATAAAATTACTTTTTCCTTCTTTATTTTTCCTGGATTTATTTTAAAAAAGAAAGCTTTGTTCATTTGACACATAGAGAGAGACAGCAAGAGAGGGAAAACAAGCAGGGGAATTGGGAGAGGGAGATGCAGGCTTCCTGCTGATCAGGGAGCCTGATGCAGGGCTTGATCCCAGAACCCTGGGATCATGACCTGAGATGAAGGCAGACACTTAATGACTGAGCCACCCAGGTGCCCCTCTCCTGGATTTTTGAGTCATAATTGTTGATAACTCCATTCTGGGGCTATAAAGGAATTTACCCATATAGTGCTAATAAAGTTTATTTTTTAAAAAATATTTTTTACATTTAGATATCTTGATTTGTTGGGAGTTCATCTCATGTTACACTGCCAGGGATAAATCTATTTAATTTTCTTTCCCATAAATTTTATCCAACTGTGCAAATAGTAATTATTAAAAATTCTTTCCCAAAATGATTCTAGCAGAATGGTTACTGCAAAGAAAGGTGGTTAGGGAAAAACTAAGGAATGTTCTGTCATCTCTAATGTAGACTAGAGAAGACACTATCAAAATTCACAAACATACCAATGGAAAGGGGTTCAAGAAACATGTACCTGCGGCATTCAGGGAGATCCAGGAATTCACAATGGAGACAGGAGTACCAGATATGCACACAGATACTAAACTCAACACAGAAGTTAAGGTGAAAGGAAAAAGGAAAGCCCCACATTTACTGTATATGGATGTCCAAAAAGTTATTTTTCTCAATGTATTCATCACCTTAAAAAAATAGTCAGCATGAATGAAAATGGCTGGTTTATTATAAAGTAATTTAACAAAAAATTTTCATTTTTACCATGTGAGTTGAGAAATTCCACAGAAGAAAATAATTTTGGAGGGAATTACTGTTCCCTAATACTATTTAGTTACTGTTAAAGAACTGAATTATAAATGTGCTAAATACATGTATATAAGCTCAACATTCTTTAACTTATGTAATACTAAAAGGTACCAAGAAGATACTCTTAGAATAAATTAAGTACTGAACTGATAAAGGTACATCTTCATCATTGCTACCTTTCAGTTTTGTGTAAACTACAGAATTATCACCCATCCATATCAGAGTTTAAACATTCTTGGTAAATATCATATGACTACTGTGTTGGGTTTTTTCTATGTATGTTCACGAGTGAAATTATTTTGGGATTTGTTTTTCAAGGGCTACTCCACATCTAATTTTATTATCAGAATATTGTTCATCTTTTAGCATCTGCTCAGAATTTTTCCAAAGGATTTTCTGTCTTTCAGGGGGTAGCCTGTACAATTATCTGTACAATGTTCCTACATGATTCTTGAAGATTATTAAAGATTATTTTTTCCAATTACGTTGTTTTTTTTGGCCCCTTTCAGTTACTCTTAAAATTTAATCATTTAAAGTGTTTTCCTAGAAAACAAACCATACTCTATTTAAAAGTTGGGTCTCATAAGGTTTATATATATTTATATGACCATGAAAAATATCCTCTAAAACATATATCAGAATTCTCCTTTCTTATCATAATGTGAAGGCATTGCCAAAGCCTAGTAATAATAGTTCTCTTCGAAGAAGCATTTTAACTTAAAATTTTTTAAAAAAACACCCTACTTTTTGTTGTTCTTTATTCTATGATTTTTGCTTTATTTTCATCAAAACTTTCCATTAATTCAAATGCCCATTGGGGCACTAGCTTGTTTACCTCAGTAATCATTATTTGACAAATATTTGGACTCCACAACATGACAGGCACTGTTGTAAGTGCCGGAGATATAGTGGTGACAAAGAGTAAACCGCCCTTAATTGTTTTAGTTATATACACAAAGTAATTGCCATTGAGAACTGCCATGATCATGTTCATAGGATTTGATATATGAGATTCATTATCATTCACAACTAAATAGCCTGTAATTTCACTTTTGATTTGCTTATTACTTTGATAATTATTTATATATGTAGTAATCCATTTCCAAGAGGTCGGAATTCATTTGGCCATTTTCTAATTTCTAAATCTTAATTGTGGTGATAAAATGAATAGGACATTTGGCTTTAGAAATTTGTTAGAGACAGATCACTTCCAGATGCCTTTATTTTTTTTTATAAATATTTATTTGTTTGTCCGAGAGATAGAAAGTGCACAAGCAGGCAGAGAGGCAGGCAGAGAGAGAGGGGGAAGCAGGCTCCCTGCTGAGCAAGGAGCCCGATGCGGGACTTGATCCCAGGACCCTGGGATTATGACCTGAGCCGAAGGCAGCAGCTTAACTGACTGAGCCACCCAGGCATCCCCCAAATGCCTTTAAAAATAAAACAAAAAACATTGCTGAACATTCGACAAACCCACTTTTATTAAAACAATAAGGCTTTCTTTATAGTATGGATTTTTTGGTGCAGCAAACGAATACTGATTCAAAGCTTTCTTCCCTTCATTCTATTTTACTGGTTTTTCTTCAGAATTATCCTACCGTTCCATAAGACATGTATCTTATTGGCATATTTGTTTATATTCATTATACTATCAAGGTCTTTCTCATAGAAATGGTCTTACTAAAATTAATGATGGTCATGATGTCATTTAAGTAGTCAGGCTCATTTAACCCTTATAATCAAATAAATAAGCAAACAGACACAGATTTGAGTTACTTTCCAAAAAATACAGATAAGATGTGTTGGAACTAAGGATACCAAAGAAGTTGAATGACATAGTCAAGGCTTTCCAAGATTAATTACATAACAGAAATTCACCTTTGGTATAATTTTGTGGAAGTGTAACAAGATTTAAATAGTGATGGAAGGTTGTCCTATGTGAGTTAGATTTAAATTCTATGCAGAATAATATCAATGATGTGGAGAATGTTTTAAAAATGATTCAGAAGAGATTCACAGTGTCATCTTATTCATAGGGTTTTACTCTGATATTCCAAATGGAAAACCATTCAGTAAATGCTTTCCTGTATTAATACAGATTGCATTATGAATTCTCTGCTGTTGAGTGTGTTGTGTACTCTGACAGAGTTTTTCAGTATTACTTACACTTGTGGGGTTTCTCTAAAGAAGCAATTATTGGACATCAAGTAATGAGTCACGAATAAAGACTTTCTTATATTTTTATATCATAAGATTTTATAAGAGTGAAATAAAGTGAGAGCTTGGAGAAAATGATGTCTCAAAATTTTTATATTCATAGGATTTCTCAAAAGTGTAAATATCCTGGTGTTGAGCAAAGTCTGAGTCCTGACTAAAGGTGTTCCCATAGTCTTTCCATTGATAGAGTTTATCATCATTGTGAATTTTCTGTTCAGTAAAATATGGATGGTGACCAAAGATCTGTTTACTTTCCTTACATTCATAGGCTTCTGTGTCAGTATGAATTTTCTTATGCCTTGTAAGTTGCGAACCCCAGATAAAAGATTTCCCACATTCTTTACATACATAAGGTTCCTCACCAGTATGTATTCTCTGATGTCGAGTAAGTTGTGAACCCCAGAGAAAGGCTTTTCCACATTCTTCACATTCATATGGTCTCTTTCCAGTATGGATTTTCTGATGTCGATTAAGTTCTGAGCCACGAAAAAAGGTCTTTCCGCATTCCTTACATTCATAGTTTCTCTCACCAGTATGAATTTTTTGATGTCGATTAAACTCTGAGCCATGAAGGAAGGTCTTTCTACATTCCTTACATTCATAGAGTTTCCTCTCATTATGAATTTTCTCATGTTGAGCAAGATATGAGGCCCAGATAAATGTCTTCCCACATTGCTTACATTCATAAGGTTTCCTACCAGTATGAATTCGTTGATGTCGAGCAAGGTGTGAACTCCAGATATAGGCTTTTCCACATTTCTCACATTCATAGGGTTTCCTGCCTACATGAACATTCTGATGTTGAGCAAGATTTGAACCACGAATAAAGGCTTTTCCACATTCCTTACATTCATGAGATTTCTCACTAGTATGAGTTCTCTGATGTTGAGTCAGGTGTGAGCCACGAGTAAAAGCTTTTCCACACTCCTTACATTCATAAGGCTTTTCACCAGTGTGAATTCTCTGATGTTTAGTAAGATGTGATCGCTGACTAAAGGCCTTCCTACATTCATTACATTCATAGGGTTTTTCACCAGTATGAATTCTCTGATGTCGTGTAAGGTCTGAGCCACAACTAAAGGCCTTCCCACATTCCCTACATTCATAAGACTTCTCGCCGGTATGAATACGCTTATGGACACTAAGTTGAGAATGAAATCTAAAGGCCTTCCCACATTCCTTACACTTAAAAGGTTTTTCACCAGTATGAATCCTCCTATGACCAGTAAGACTTGAACGCAAACTAAATGCCTTCCCACATTCTTTACATTCATATGTTTTCTTAGCAGCATGAACTGTCTGATATTGAGTAAGTTCTGAGTCAGAAAGAAATGTTTTCTCATATTCCTTACCTTCACAAAATTTCTCCTTAGTTTGAATTACTTGATGTTGAGTACAGTCTGAGTCAGAAGGAAAGGCTTTCCCACATTCTTTAAATTCATTCAGTTTCTTTCCTGTATTCTGTTTGTGATGTACATTAAAAGCTGTGTTATGGTTAAAAGTGGATGTTTTTTCATTGGTGAGTATAACCTGCTTTAAACATTCTTCCTGATTTTCCTGTTGTGTTTCAGACTGATCTTTGCTTTCCCAATCACCCCTAAAACATAAATATTCAAGGCTGTATTTTTTATAAATTTCCAATTGAGTCAATTCTCTCTCAAAAGTGACATTTTTTGGTGATAACTTCTTGCTCTGACATCTGGTCTGCATGTCTGAAAGATAAGAAAATAAATTCATACTGTTTTACTGTTCAAAAACAAACAAAATGTCCAATGTAGTTATAAAAAGTAAATCCTAAAATACATAAGGCATACAAGAAGTGAATGACTTAAGAGATTCTCAAATTCTGGGTAATATGAAAAAGGGGCAAAAAATAAATAGAAATTTAAGAGAACTAATAAAAGTTGAGGGGGTTATTAGATATATAAAAACTCTGTCTTACTGAAATTCATCTGAGTAGTTCAACTAAAAACATGATTATTAAAGTACCACCCAGTCATGGAATGCCAATGTAAAGATAAGACTGTTTCACTCAGTATGAAATCAACCCTTAGCGTATGTTAGGCATTAAAAAAATAATTCTGTAAAAAATACATTACAAGACCAAAAAAAAAAAAAAGAAGAAAAGAAAATGGGGGGAATTTAGGATAGAGTAAAGGATCTTACAAAAACCAGGTACTGGGAAGCACAATTGGGATCATTTAATCTATGATTAATGTCACTTCCATCTTTACTGAAATGAATGCATATACTGCTTCCATATTACTTTCTGTACAGATAGGAAGAATCAAAAGTATATATAAACTAACTCAAAGACAAATATGCAGAAATGTAATCATGCCCTACTTAATCATTTTTCAATTTGCCTTTGTACAAGCAAAGACTTCACCCTGGTTATTTCCGCCACAGCGCATCGCCAAGTTCAACTTTCTGTCACAACTCCACCAAGTTGCTTTTGTCTTAAGAAGAGTTGTATTGTTCATCCATTCTGCTTTATGCTTTCAAGCCCTTCCCTAGGTCTCTTCTTCCTTTCCCTTCTATGCAAGGCCACTGAAAATATTATAAAGTATCTACAAATTTTCAAGTACTATGGAAGCTATTATGATGAATGTTTTATATAATTCTGAGCTTAAAAACTGTAGGGGCGCCTGGGTGGCTCAGTGGGTTGAAGCCTCTGCCTTCGGCTCAGGTCATGATCCCAGGGTCCAGGGATCGAGCCCCGCATCGGGCTCTCTGCTCAGCGGGGAGCCTGCTTCCTCCTCTCTCTCTGCCTGCCTCTCTGCCTACTTGTGATCTCTGTCTGTCAAATAAATAAATAAAATCTTAAAAAAAAAACTGTAATGTTGGGAAACAGAATATCAGGTGTAGTGGGAAGTAATCTAGTCTAGAGTTAACAGAGAGTAGGAACTCAGTAACACAGGTATGTTGCTTTTAGGTTAAAGGACATAATTATGTGTGATAGTTCAAAAGAAAATAGTTTGAGAAGTTGCCAAGGGCAAAGAGTCTGGCATGAGCTAGGAATAAGTAGGACCACTCTGTAACTCACTTTCTTTTTAAAAGATTTATTTATTTATTTATTTGACAGACAGAGATCACAGGTAGGTAGAGAGGCAGGCAGAGAGGGTGGGGGGTGGGGGAAACAGGCTCCCTGCTGAGCAGAGAGCCTGATGTGGGGCTCCATCCCAGGACCCTGGGATCACGACCTGAGCCAAAGGCAGAGGCTTAACCCACTGGGCCACCCAGGTACCCCTGTGACTCATTTTTGATATGTGCCAGATCCAATGAAATTGTCATGTGGTTATGTTATAAATTCTCTACCAAATCTGTATGGGATATCAAACTTACTGGTAGAATATTTTAGATGAATAAAACAAGAAAATATTACAACTACTATTATTTGAACATACTGAAAGGCTCAGCCAATTTTTACTATTCATATTGTACTGATACTAGCATTTGGCTTAGAGACTGACAGACCTTATCTTAGGGCTGAGAAGATAGAGATTAGTATCCAGGGTCTGTCAATAGGGGAGTCCTAAACATTCGTCATGTTTAGATACAATGGAAGGGCTATAATCAAGGAATATGGGTAAAACAGAGACCTATACAGGAACTAGAGCTCAGTTTCAAACTATCTCAGTGACTCAGGAGGGTGATGGCTTGAGAAAGCAACCACAATGTTAATGCCTTCAGGTACCTGGTAGAAACGAATAATCCTCTATGAAGGAAGGTACCCTAGGCAATAGTTTTACCAGTTTTACCACAGCGTTCTACAAACACTATCTGGCACAAAATTAAATAAATAAATAACAAAATTAAATAAATAACCAAATAATATGAATGCAAACAGACTACATTATATATATATAATGTAGTCTATATATAATGTAGTCTACATATATATGTATATATTATATACATATATATACATACATATGTATACTATACATATGTATACTATACATATGTATGTACATATGTATAGTATACGTATGTACATACATATGTATAGTATACGTACACATATGTATATGTATATATTGTATATATATAATATGTGTATATAACATAACGTGTGTATATAACAGACTACATTATATATA